AGTCTGCGAAATCTCTGAACTATCTACACTATCGTCATCTTCTATTTCTTGTACTTCTTCTTGAACATTATTTTCTTCTAAAATTCCAAATTTTAGTATAACAGTGTCCTTCTTAATTGTCACAGTTTCATTCTCGTTAAACGTAACATTACAACTTATTTCAATTTTCCTTTTATCCGCATTCCAAAGTCTATAGTTTGACGAATAACCATCATATCCAACAAATAACAGTTTTTGACTTTTTGAGTCAAATTTCTTTCTAAATTGTGGTGGAATTGACATGTACGCTGTACTTCCAAATATTCTGATATGTTTTATGTCTGGTTTTCATCCAAACCTTCTTTCATAAGGATTCATATTTTCCACTTTGCTTGAAGCTGTCCTATTCAGTATATAAACAGCTGTATTGACTGCCTCTGACCATAATTCTTGTGGTACATTTTGGTACAGAAATGAACTTAACCTAACCAAAAGATATACTACTCCTGAAAACGAACATAAAAACATCAGCCAGATCAGTTGTAAACAAAGCAACTCGGTCGGCTTAAGGTCGATACACATTAGCGTACTTACCCGCTTACGTGGGATCGACGTTGCAGTAAAAACTTAGATATATATTATCAACATAGCGTTATTAACTTAACAAATTGTACTACCAGTGTATGCTAAACCAAATTTTTCTCGAAAATACTATACTTAGCTTATTACGAATATACTATATTTAACTTATCACGAATATATTATATTTACTTATCACGCGTGATTTACTAATTAAATTTAATTTACTGATACATCAGAATTTGAGCCTAAGTAGGGTTTAATATCCTTAACGTGCCAAATTCCTACCTGACACGACTCTAAATTCTCAAGCTCATAAACAGTATTCGAAATTTTCTTTCGAATAACGCAAAGGACATATTTCGATGCAAGTTTGGCCGAAAATTTATGGGAAGCATCCGACAGAACTTTATTTCTTCGCCATACCTTATCGCCAACTGCAAAACGTATATCTCCTTTTCTTAAATTATAACTTTTTACATTTCTCTCATAAGCTTTATGTAACCTCTTTCTAATTTCACTAAACACCTCAGACAAACCTGAAAATTCGGAAACATAAACCTGCCGATTTCCCGGAAGTAATTCCATATCTTTAGTTGAAGTGACTACTCCATAATATTGACCTGACAATGGGACATAACGAGCAAAATTGATAAAAGATGGAGAATACCCTGTAACCTGATGTTTGGCTGTATTTATAGCTTGTTGTATTTCGGGTAAATATTTATCCCAATCTTTATGTTTTTCTATATAACTTCTAACCGCAGTTCCAATGGTCTTATTGGTTCTTTCAACAAAATTTGCTTGTGGGTGATATCGCGCATTGAACCATATTTTTTGGACTTGATATTTATCGATTAAAGCTTTGAATTGTTTACCAGCAAATTGAGTGCCATTGTCGCATATTACAAATTTGGGAACTCCGAATACTTGGAAAACACGTTCTTCCATAAATTTCACAATGCTCGGCGCGTTAGCCGTGCGTAGGGGATGTAATAGGGTATATTTTGAAAACCAATCTGCTACTACTAATAAATGACTAAAACCTTTAGACGATCTAGGAAATGGACCCATAATATCGACCGCTATAATTTGCCAGGAAAAATCTACATGTTTTTCACTACCATAAGGACCTATACTAATCTTATTAGAACATTTTTGTGAACCACAAATCTTACAGGAACGTATGTATTTGAGAATATCTCGACGCATTTTAGGCCAATAATAAAGGTCTTGTACTCTACTTAAGGTCTTATAAAATCCAAAATGAGAACTAAGGGGTGGATCATGACAAGATTTAATTATGTCTAAACGTTGGGACTTTGGGACTAATAGCTTCCACCCGGACATATTTGTTTTTAGTGATAATTTAGAGGGCACATGTTTATAAACTAGATCTGCTTTGACCAACCAACCAGGATAGCTATCTGAAAATTTGAGAATTTTTTCCCTCATCTTCAAATAAAACGAATCTAACTTTTCAGTCAATATTTAATACATCTACCGATATAGTAATGGATCTGGATAGGGCATCGGGGACAACGTTATATTTTCCTTTCCTATGAATGACATCAAATGAATATTGCTGAAGTTTCAGGGACCAACGAGCTAATTTGCCTATGGGATTCTCCAGGTTTTTTAACCACAAAAGAACAGAATGTGTGAATCGGTCACTACAGTAAAATGTTGCCCTTCAATATAAAATCGAAACTTCTCGATACAAAAAATCATGGCTAAAAGTTCACGTTGTGTTATGGATAGGGCTCTTTCAGTTTTAGTCAAACTTCTACTTGCAAAAGCTATGACAGTTTCATTGCCATCTATTTCCTGCAAAATTAAACCGCCTAAACCAACATCAGAAGCATCGCACTGAATAATAAAAGGTCTCGAAAAATCTGGGGCTGATAAAATAGGTGTGGACACAAGAGCTTCCTTTAATTTAATAAAAGATGATTCTGCTTCTGCAGACCAATTGATAGATTATTTTTTTCTAACTTTACCTTTCAGAAGATCATTTAATGGTGCAATCAAAGAAGAAAAATGTGGGATAAACCGGCGATACCATGACGTCATACCGATAAATCTTTTAATTTCTGTAGTATTAGTGGGTCTAGGATAATTAATCATACTTGAAATTTTATCAGGATCAGTTCTCAAACCATCTTCATCAACAACAAAACCAAGATATTTCAATAATTTTTTAAAGAATTCACATTTATTCAGGTTTACTGTCAAATTGGCATTTTTTTAAAACATCCCTAACTTTGCCTAGTAATTTAATATGATCATCCAAAGTGGCAGACGTAACTATAATATCATCTAGGTAAACAAATATGTTAGGTTCATATTTAGGTCCAAAAACCGCATCCATTAGACGCTGTTGAGTTTGAGCGCTATTAATTAAACCAAAAGAAACGCGAGTAAAATGAAATAAACCGCGACCCGGTACGGCAAATGCAGTTTTTTCCCTTGAGTCTTTTGTTAAAGGTATCTGCCAGAAAGCTTTTTTCAAATCTATCGAACTAACATACTTAGTACCACGTAACATGCTTAAAATTCTGTCTACTCTATTAAATGGATATGCATCAGGTTTAGTAACTCGATTTAAATGACGACCATCAAAAGTGAAACGATACTCTAACGATTTCTTTTTTACCAATATTACAGGTGAACACCATGGACTTTGAGAAGGTTCTACTACTCCTAACTTGAGCATCTCGTCTAGTTCTGCATTCAAAATATTTAACATAAACGGAGACATAGGGTATTGTTTGATTTTAAATGGTTTTGAGTTCCCAGTATCAATGTCCAAAGAAATTCTATGTGTACAACCTAATCTGGTATCTGAGGAAATATCTTTAAATGATTCTATTACTGCATCTATTTGTTGTTGTTGGTCAACGGTAAATTTATAGTGATTTGATAACGTATTACTCATTCCAACCTTATTCTTATCTATTTCACAAATTTCACCATCTTGAATATTTATTGTAAAAGAATTTTCCCATTCTACATTCTGTTTTTCTAAGATTTCATTAGTTAATTTGAAGCGCCTAACAGTTTGCTTGGATTGGAAATGGTACGGTTTTCCAACCCTCGTAAAGCGTTTTTTTGAGCACGGGCAAGTCTTAATAGTCATTCCTGGGTTTCCACATTTAAAACAAAACCTTTTTCAGAAGAGATAGAAACTATGATTTGCTAAGTTACAATGCCAACAATTTAAACTTTTATTAGTGCTTATATTTGACTGATTCTGATTAATTACTGACATATCTCTACTATCATTTTCCCTATTATATTTCCTGTTTTATTTGTTTAAAATTTTTATTATCACGTGAAAATGTTCTAGTAACTGACTGGTCTTGTATGTCATGTCTAGAATCTTTACTAGTACTAGCATAAGATAGCTCAGGCTCTAATGAACAATGTGTTGTTGGTGGTCGATAATTATTTTTCACAGAGTTCGCCTCATCAATTTTTTTACAATAATTAACTAATTCAATTATTGAATTAATAGGTATCAGAGCTAGCTGACTAATATAATGAGGTAACAAATTTTTTCTCATATATTTTAATTTAGTTACTTCTGGAACAAATTTATTTACTCGACTGAATACTGACTGCATAATAGCTACGTAGATATTAATAGACTCATGGCGACGTTGAGTTATGTTTCTTATTTCATTCCAAATTTGATCATCATAATCGCTAGATAAAAATTCATTAATTAGTAAATTGACTAAAGCATCCCAATCAGATATTGAATTTCTAACAGATCTAAACCATACCAGAGCATTACTGCTAAACAAATCGCAAGTACTAGCAAAAGTTCATCTTTATTAACATTGCGTGAAGCGCAAAGTTCATCCACTCTTTCCAAGAAAGATTTAACACTACTATTTTTTTCACCATTAAATTTAAGATTCCATTTGTAAACAGGTACANCTCAACACGATTTCTTCAGACAAAAAACTATTTCGGTCAGAGAAAGTTAAACAGAAATTCGGGAACAAATGTACAGATGAGCGGACAGCAACTGCCGCTGGACTTGTTAATTGTGATATTACTACCAAATGCACCTTTTGTGAAGGTACGCACGAAACTGGAAACTGTTTTAAGTTCAGAAAACATTCTTTAGAAGAAAAGAAGAGCATTCTTTCAAAAAGGGGAGCATGTTTTAGATGCCTAAAGATGGGACACTTGGCAAGAAAATGCCATGCACAAGTGAACTGCATGGTATGCAACAAATCACACGTTACGATGATGTGTCCAGAAATACTGGCTAACAAAGCGAAAAATGAGGCTTCTTTGATAGCAGAAGAGGAAAAAGAAAAAAATCTACTGAACAAGCGCTATCGTGCCAAACTTCCTCGCATGTTTTTATGCAAACAATTAGAGTAACCATAAGCAATGGTTCTGCTTCAAAAGAAATTCGAGCCTTGATGGATACGGGATGGCAGCGATCATATATCTTGAAGGACACCGCTAAAGAACTAGGTTATGTTCCATTTAAAACAGTAACAATCACTCATGCTTTGTTTGGAGGACAGAAAACAGAGGAGAAATCTCATAATTGTTATAAAATTAGAATCGGCGATAACAATTATAATTGCACCATGGAAATGTTGGATCAAAATCATATTTGTAGCAGTATCCAGCCAATACATTTCGGTGAGTGGATTGAAGAATTGAAGGCGAAAAATATTCATTTGAGCGATGTAGGCAGTCAGGGACCTATAGAGGTGTTACTCGGAGCCGATGTAAATGGAAAATTATATACTGGCCGTAGACACTTGTTGAAATCCGGACTAGTCGCTGTAGACACCTTGTTGGGTTGGACTTTAATGGGGAAAGTTCCTAATGCGGAGAGAAGTACGAATTTAGTAAGCATGTCCATGTTAGTCAAAGATGCGCCTATTTCCAACTTATGGGCACTGGATGTGTTAGGTATTACCGATCCGGCTGAGACGAAAAACAGACAGGAATTGGCTTTAGCGGCAAAGGAAATGTTCCAGCAAACGGTTAGAGTTAATGAGATGGGCAGATATGAAGTACGACTTCCATGGTTAGAAGGTCATGCCCCGTTGTCGAGAAATTACTATGTTGCGAGAAGAAGATTACATTCGACTACAAAAAAGTTGAAAAGGAACCACATATTGGAATCATATGACCATGTTTTCCAAGAATGGCTTCAGGAAGGAATCATAGAAGAGGTACCCAATAACGAGTTAGGAAACGAAGCTGCTCACTATTTACCACATAGAGCCGTAATCAAAGAAAACAGCACTACGAAGATACGGCCTGTGTTCGATGCATCTTCATGTGAAAAAGGAAAACCTTCACTGAACAGTTGTTTAGAAACTGGACCCAATTTGATAGAATCTATCCCTTCAATACTGTTGAGATTCAGATTGTATAGTTTTGGAGTCATATCTGTAGAAAGTCTTTCTGCAGATCAGCTTGAGACCACAAACGTGTGGTATTTGGTATAAGCAGCAGTCCATTTCTTCTTGGTGCAACTATTGAACATCATCTTGCCTTATGTAGAAAAAAATCCAACAGAACTGGTACATTTTACTCCCCAGAAACAATAGATAAATTGTCTGAAAGCTTCTACGTCGACAATTGTGTTACGAGCCTGGAAGACGAAGCTTCATTGAACCGCTTTATAAGTGAGTCCATCGCTGTTATGAACGAAGGCAGTTTTGATCTCAGAGGGTGGGAGTACACACAAGGAAAAGATGCCTCAACGGAAGTTGAGCCTATATATGTGCTTGGATTGTCTTGGTATCCGAACAACGATGTGTTAGCGATCACTAAAAATTGCATCGAAGCGAGCTCTGGGGATCGAACGATAACCAAAAGACAGATTCTTTCGATGGCACAGAAGGTTTTCGACCCTATTGGCTTCACTTGTCCTACATCTTTATACCCCAAACTATTATTACAGAAAACATGGAAGCAAAAGCTAGATTGGGACGATCCTGTAGATGAAGAACTTAAACATGATTTTTGTGCGTGGAATAAAGAGCTCGATTTGTTGACATCCATCAGAATACCTAGATGTATTAAGTGGGGACTAGGAAATAATAGAAGATTTAGCTTACATGTACTCTGTGACGCGAGCAAAGATGCATACGCAGCAGTAATTTATTTGAGAATAAAAAATCCTGACCGAGTTTATGTAAATTTGTTGACGGCCAAAGCTAGAGTAGCTCCTTTAAAGAAAACAACAATTCCGCGATTGGAATTGTTAGCAGCCACGATTGGAGCTAGACTCTTCCATAGTGTTAGAGCTGAATTTAAACGAGACATGGAATGTTATTTTTGGTGAGACTCATCCACTGTGATATCATGGATACGGCGAGCGGAGGAGTGGTCAACATTTATTTGGAACCGAGTCCAAGAGATCAGATCGTTAACTTCAGTAGATTCTTGGAGACATGTATCAGGTACACAAAATCCTGCCGATCTCCCATCAAGAGGATGTTCTGCTAGACAATTGGTTGAGTCAAAATGGTGGGAGGGACCTCATTGGCTGTACTTAGAATCAGACATGTGGCCTAGCTGTCCCATGGTATGTGACGAAGAAGAGATTAACCAAGAGCGAAAGAAAAGACTTGTCACGTCGTTGGTTAACACTGACACTACAGATTGGCATCTTGGTTATTTTTCTAAATACAGTATGGCGTAATTAAGTCTTTAATTGTTAGATTACCATACTTTATTTGTTTTTATGCGCCGGCAGCTCATTTATGGCTAGGTTGTGGGTAAAGTAAAAGTGCTAATTCACATCAAGTAGGGAATAAATATATTATGTAATCTAAGGGTTATTTCTAGGGGTGCCAATCACTTTTAAATAAGTAAACAAATATTGATGAAAGTGATAAATGGCAATATCAAAAATACAGATTTTTTTTTTATCTATTTANACTATACCATAAATATATATACTACGAGGTATATACGAAAGAGAGAACTTAGAGAACTTCTTGAAATAATATATATAAATAATATACCCAGCTAATCAAAATTTTGAGGCCATAAATTTATATATTGTCAGTCAGTCGTTATCAGATGCCATATTGCCTTATCTATAAAATGTTAACAGAACTATACAGTTTTAATTTCCAACACCAGTTCCGCTTTATTTTATTTTTATTAATTTTCTGCTTCCTTACCAAGGCCTGCAATCTCACTCACCAATATTTTTAAATTTATAAGATTTTCTATTTAAAAAACAATAAATTTTACCAAAATTTACCCCCTCTCTTGATAGAGAATTAAAAGTTTTATACACTATGACAAATATGCATTTACCACGTTTTGGGCGCTATTTTGTATGGCGTAATTAAGTCTTTAATTGTTAGATTACCATACTTTATTTGTTTTTATGCGCCGGCAGCTCATTTATGGCTAGGTTGTGGGTAAAGTAAAAGTGTTAATTCACATCAAGTAGGGAATAAATATATTATGTAATCTAAGGGTTATTTCTAGGGTCGCCAATCACTTTTAAATTAGTAAACAAATATTAATTAAAGTGATAAATGTCAATATCAAAAATATAGATGTTTTTTTATCTATTTAAAGTGTAACATTGGTGAGTTGAGGTAGGTACAGACATCACGAAAGTAAACTAGAAAACATAAAATTTAAAAACAGTTTTATTAGAAACTATTCAAACTGAAAAATGGCTACACTAATACTTGATGTAATGAAGTAAAGTAATGGATATGAAATATACCTTGTAAATTAATCTACAAAAATGCATTAAAGTTAATACTACATTTAATAAGTATACCTATATAATAAGACAAAAAAAAGGTGAGGTTAACGAAGCATTCAATACGTAGATTTTTGTGTTGAATAATTGTAAAATAATATCTATTATAACGGTGTCAAAATAATGGATTATTTGTGATCACAAGTACCTTACATAATGAAATAATTTTAAATGCTGACGGTTAGAATATACACATTCATACATAAATATACCTCATAATCAGACATCCAGTATTTAGGCAAATTTAAATATTGTTACGTCATGTGAACAAAATAGGTTTAAAATTTGGCATGGGAATCAAAATCTTGTGGTTATTCATAAAATAAAACCTGACTTATCCACGTGGTCCAATCCGCAAGCTAAAATGGCGGCTCCATGGTCCCAGAAATGGCTCTGACAAATAGACTAATGACATCAGATCGGCCGAAATGCCAATACGTCTAGGAAGTCTATGTAGTGGAAAACCACGGGGAAGACGCAGCAAACAGGCTTGGTGTAGACAACGGGGATCGTGTAGGTGTGGAGTACTCCCAGGGCGACACGTGCTGATTACATAACCAGGTGTAAAACCTGGTCGGAGGGACTCGAACGCGGTACACACCTACTCCTAACTTACTTGCCCTGTGGATATTTAAACCACGGTATACCTAACTGCAATAATAAAAAAGATCGGCAATTATACTTACGGAGCAACCTCCGGCGAGTTGACAGTTTTTAGTTAACTATTAGGAAAGCTATTGGATGCTGGTGATGTAATGTACGATGTACAGTTCAAAATATCGGCATCGAGGCTACTCTAATAATTCTGTTGCAATTTTACTACGGCACAGGTTGAATGAACGATTTCACGTGCTTATTTCTGACCCGCGTATCAATAAGTTCTACCCGTTCATCTGTTTCTTTTTCGAATTTAATATTCGCCCTGCTCCGCGTGTAGCGCGCACGACCGGACTTTGGTTGTTATAAAAACTAGACATCTGATTGTGTTCCTACACGATACAGGATGGTATAAAATTTCCTAGCCAAGGATACTGGGACACAACAATAAATATGTATTTTATTAAGGTGTCTTATTTGAATGCTACACCCCCTCTCTCTTTTAAAAAAATGTATATCCATATATACAAATTCTATACCTGATTAATTTAATAAGTTTTACCTTACTTATTGCAAATATACTATAAAAAGAACCTAAGGCTACTAACTAATATGAATTCACTAAATAGTAATAATAATTGTGTTTACTTAGGTAGGAAGTGACGGTAAAGAAAAACGATGTCGAACGGTTGATTGTTTAATAATAATATGCAGGTTATGACAACAACANCAAGGATTGCTGACTACCGAGGAAATTGAAGAGGCTGAGACATTTATTCTGAAGTTAATTCAAGCTGAAGCTTTTCCTGATATTAATGACAAACGAATCAGTACCTTAAATCCATTTTATGACCAGTTTAGATTGATTCGTCTAAAGTCAAGAATATCTCAAAGAAAAGATATAAAGGACTTTTGCTATCCGATATTGCTACCCTCAAAAATCATGTGGTAAATGTGTTAATTTCTGACTCTCATATAAATTCTTGCCACATCGGAACACAAGGTCTTTTAAGTCTCATGCGAGAAAAATATTGGATACTTGGAGGAAGAAGAACCATACGGTCGGTAATAAACAAATGCTCGATTTGCAGACGGCACAGTTCGAAACAGGAGGTCCCACAAAGCGCCTACACCGGCCGCAATTGCGGTCGGGGTAGACGACGGATGGGGCCCACCTACGAAGGCTGTCCAGGCCTACACGAGATGAGGCAGGATAAAGATCCCTCGATCCCAAATCATTGAGGCCAATTTCTAGCCATAGAATAATGGCGCAGTTCGAAACACTTTGAAGAAAACCCTTCAGTTTTACCTGTGGATAGAGTGAAAGACGCCGCGGTGTTTGAGGTGACGGGCATTGATTTTGCAGGACCACTTTATTTGAAAACGGGTAAAAAGGCCTGGATTTGCTTATTCACATGTGCGGTGTATCGTGCTGTACACCTGGAACTTACTACATCTCTTTCTACTTCAGAATTTGTGCAAGTTCTTCGGAGATTTATCGCAAGACGAGGGAGACCGAGACTCATTTATAGCGATAATGCTACCAACTTTGTTGGCGTGGAAAATTGTTTCGAAAAATTAAACTGGGACATCATCAATGATTTTAGTGCTGCTCAACGTATTAACTGGCGTTTCAACCCTCCTCTGCTCCATGATGGGGAGGATTTTGGGAAAGACTCATTGAAATCCTTAAGCAACTGCTACGTAAAGTTTTGCAACGCGCTTCTTTATCATATGAAGAATTATTGACTATTATTTGTGACTGCGAAACTATTGTGAACTCCAGACCTCTTACATATGTATCTGATGAACCTTCCGAATTGGTGCCTTTGACTCCTAATATGTTTTTACAAAATATAATAGAATGCGGAGTTCCTGATTGTGATGGCGTGGACAGAGACTCTTTGAAGCGACGTATCGCATATAGACAAAAGCTACGAGACGCACTACGTGCACGTTTTCGTAGTGAATACTTGGGACAACTAAAGCTCGCGAATAATAAAGCACCTTCGAGACCTATTTTTTTAAATGAAGTAATTCTTGTTGGAAACGATAAAACGAAGAGATTGGACTGGCCATTAGGACGAGTTATCGAATTAATCACTGGTAGAGATGGTAAAATTCGTCTTGTTCGTCTTCAAACCGCTTGTGGCCAACTTATACGCACGATACAAAGATTATACTCTCTGGAGGTAATAGATCAAGAGATTCCTGCCAATCAAAAATATGAAGAAGCTAGTGCTAGTGCGGGAGTGAAAACCAAAAGCAGAGTACCCGAAAACATCTCCAGAGAAAGTGCGGGAGTGAAAAGCAAAGTACTTAGAAGTGATAAAGATGAATCCATCAAACTTAAATTTAGTCGAAGTGGACGTATATTAAGACCTCCTAAAAGGTTCCCTTAATGAGATTTATGTTACATGTGCCTTTATTTCTTGTGAGTCACATTATTTAATTTCACCTAATGTTACTCAGGTGGGAGTATGTCGGCACACACGTTTAATTTTATTTTATTGCATTATCTGGCTGTGTTGAGTCAAAGATATTGAATATTCATTGTGTGTGTTGTAAAAGTAAAAACTAAGTTTTTGTACCACTGTCTTTATTCCTGTTTCTGTTTAGTTAGTGTTCTGTGACAATGTAACTATTAAGTTGGCAGAACATGTTATCCGAGATACCCGAGATAGGTGTGTCGCAAGAATATCCTTGGGTGTGTTGTGTGTAATATTTGACAAATAAGAATGTCTTCAACTTTTACATCGTAAATTGTAAGATTTCCCACTAAACACGAAACGTAAATGAAACGTTGCAAATGAGCTGTTTTACTAAACATTTGACACATTAGGGGTTTACGAAAAATATATCTGACCAACTGATCCGAGCGCTGCTTACTCTGGTCAGAGTGCTCTTTTAAATTGGCTATTTTCGTAAGCACCTAGTAGAAACCGATCTAACCTAACCTCTATCACTATTTACATGCAATAATTCTACAAATAAATGTGAAAAGTGGTACCTGTAATAATGTTCATCTACATCTACCATATCTAAATTGTTATTTAACATATTGCCAATTTTAATTTTTTTTCTACACAAGACAACTGAAGAGAACGAAACGAAGTTCATGTTTCATTCAACAGTCAACAAAACAATTTTTCTTTGTAACTTAACGAAACATCTGTTTTTAATTTTTTTATTATACCTGTAAACAACACGCATGCGCAAATTTCAGATCATTCTTTAATCTGACGAATAAGCAAGGGCGACTAGAGCGCTCAGATTTTCTATATCTGAGCATTGAGGTTGCATTTTCGTAATGGGATCTAATCATCAGAGTGAATATTCGTAAGGCATTTTCTTGTTCCGACCTTTCCGATACAATTATCGTAAACCCCTATTAACTACAAACGTGTCTGTTTCATTACAGAAATGTAGAAAACTTATTTAGTGAAACATAGCCGAAATGTTACAATTGAAGAGAGTTTGAAACATTACTCGAAACATTTCCTTTCGATCTCGGAAACAACAGACGAACAACCCTTTGCTATTTTTGCTTATCTTATGGAACATTCGGCATTAGTTAAATTTTGCTCTCAATCCCCAATCCCTCTCAAGCGTTAGTTCATTTGCCTTTGTTATACAAAGACATAATCAGAAAAAAATGTGGTAGCATATTTATAACACAAGTCTAGAAAAAATGTATGTTCGTGACTTGCGTAGACTGCGCGTAACAGCCCGAGTTTATTTGTTTCCCGTGTGTCATTTCAATTCGTATTATGTTAGGTTAGGTTTGCGGTTTGTCGGTTTGCTTGGTTTCGTTG